CCTTCATACCTCGTATGTCCATATATGTGAATTTTTGCACTTTTTGAAAAACTTTTCACAAATGCCTCGCAATCTCAGTGATTCCATGAAATCCTTAGATACGGAATCACCATATATCCACAGAGTATCTGCCTCCGTAAAGGATGAATTCTCTACAGCTGCTGTTGAGTTATCCTCTATAGAAAATAGTATAGTTGTACATGAAATAATTAGAAATATCCTTTATATAACACACGCTATTTAAAATGGCATAGTTATCATTAGTAAATTAAGAAAAAAATTAGTAAATATTGTCCAATAGAAGAGTACAAGCCATTTAGGATGCTACATTTGAGAATTACAAATCGTCCAGTAGAGTACATACCAGTATACGGCCGCCACAATCTGTCGACCCATCTACCAAAACCGTTTTGTAGCGGGTTGCAAGTGATTCCACAGGCTTTTCCTGTATCAATAGAAGAATTATTATCATCAATTGTTTGGAGATTTCGACATACCAATCTAGCCATGTCATAGTTTGAAACAGATTAATTCATTGTTCTTCGCCTGTTAGCAAAAAAAATTAGGTTCACGATGAAAACACTAACTTTTCTTTCGACACAAATATTTGTATACAAATGCTCCTATGGCGTCATTCTGTTTCAGTCTCTGATTTTTCCTTCATAGGGCTCGGGCTTATGGCCAAATTTTCAGCAGCCGACCTCGAGTCCTTGACTGATCTCGCTTTTTTAGGAAGACGCAATAAAGGCGAAAACGTTATGATAGCTTATACGTCAGGTTGCTGACAAAAAAGGTTACGGGTCTGAATTAGAGTCGTTCAGCTAAGCTGTTCCAAACTGATACAGTCCTCTTTAATGGGTCGGTACTGATTCATGGTATCGTGCTTATGAAACATTCTGCCTCGATCCGGTTTCAATAACAACGCAGACTTTTACCTGTATGGTTTAAAAACTCCTGTGTGCCATGCGAGTTTTCAGGGACAGAAAAATTAATTGCCGTTTTCCCTCCAATCGGTTCCAATATGTAGTCATCGCCAATGTATCCCAAGATCCCATCTGGCTGGTATTTTCCTTGAACTGTCCCTGTTTTTTTTGAGGTATTAAAAATGTAATTGTTCTAGTACTTCTACTTTCGCCCCAGTTAAGAAATCTGTCAATCATTCGAGAACTGTAGCGAGCATGCGCGAAACGGACTGGGAACAACAACAACATCAAGAAGTTCGTCTTCGCAGCGATTCGACAGTGTGAAATGAATTCGCCTTTGGTCCTGTTGGTCATTGCTTTCTTAGCTGTAACCGATTTTTTCTGCAGTAATGTGGAGCTTACGTTTTCCTTTCTTCTGGTCTTGCGTTTGTCATTACATGCGGTTTACTACTTAAGAACGAGACCAGTGAACAGTCATTGTACGTGTTCCTCGATGCCCGATCTTTTGGCTCACTACAGGCTTTCAAGCTGTGCTTCTGTTTAGAAGACCCACAAGACTAGAAGAAGGGCCAACCCTCCAATGCGTCTGTAGAAGAGTTTATATTTTCAAGTGAAAGGCCGAAAATTAATCCTTCGTGATATTAAAAAAAGCGCGGTGGCCGTGGTGAAATAGAAGAGTTGTCAGAGTTGTCAGAGTTGTTTACCGTTTTATTACACTTTTGAGACGAAAAGAAATGATGATTGAGATTCTTAATTCTTCATCCTTGATTGTGAACTTATCCTGGCAGAGTTGCGTTGGATGATTGAGTGGCATATGGTCAAATCTCGTAGTTCTTGTATTTCGTTTTGCACTAGAAGCTAAATGAATTTTGCCAAGAGATCAATCACACTTGATATGCTTAAGTTCTTATCTTCGTGTGATTTAATTTAAAGTTTACCGTAGTTTCTAACAAATGAATATAGGCAAATGAAAGGGTAATTATTTTGTGTGTTTGGAATTCTCTTTTCATGACAGCAGTTACTACACTGCCTTCAGTTTGAGTCCTCATTCAATTGTGTTTTGTTTTGTTGCAAACAAAGAGGGAGAAATTATAAATATTTTATTCCAAGATCTACACTACCCACTGGAACAAGAGTATGGTTTAAAAAAGATTAGCTAAGGTCAGAAAATAAATGTTCAAGTTTGCATGTTTTAACAAGGACAACATCTGGCTAAATATGCTTCAAAGGGAATTGATAAAATTAAAAAAAATGATGACATTTCTATTTTTGCCTTTCCTTTTGCCACAGTGATCAGTTTTTGCCATATAGTTGCATGTAATGTTTTACACCTTTGGACATCAACCTGCCAGGTTAGTTTGTGTCTGTGTAAAAATGTAGTTTACTGTGAATGAAATCAAAGTAAACCCTCTCAACTTAAAAATTGCCTTGTACTAGTGGATATTGAAAACACCATAGGATGCCTTGGAAAAAAATGTAAAATGATTATTAAGATAATGTTATTTGCAGTCAACAATAACAGTTAGAAACTTGTGTTGAGGCTGTCAAAAATATATTTCAGAGACCATAAACCTTCACTAATTTTGCTGTTACAACAAGTGGTAAAGGAATTAAAATGTGAGATCACCTCCCTGGGCTTACACTGAAAGAGAGTATGGGTAGTAGGACACATTGTGCATTTCCCTACCCTTTTTAAGCCAAGAGACCTTATTTTATAATCCTGATTCATTTCCTTCAGCATACAGAATTAAGAGAGCTTTTAACTTAGAAACATTTCAAAACTTGGGGGAAAAATTGGTGGTACCAATAAAATGTACTCTATAGACCGCTTCTTCAACCTTCACAACCCAAAGAGACACCTCGTTCAAAACTCTAAAGGGTGAAATGGTCACCACCTAAATCAGCAGCTCATAATCATCGAGGTCAAACAAGCCAAGGGTAGTATCGTAGAAAGAACTGCTGAGAGGATTGGGCTCAAGCCCGTCAATAACTTCTTTTGATGGCTGATAAAAAATCAATTTTACCTTGTATAATAATTAGTTGTAAATCAGGTTCATAACTTACACAAACAATACACTTAACTTGTATATTTTTCAAGCCTCTTCTGATTCTCTTTATAAACTTTGCCAAACATTCAGTTTTCTTTTTTTCTGTTTCTTGTACTTCAGTCCTTTGAGGGAGTTTCTCAACGAATACTCTTTCCAGATGTACTCACTCTGATTAGCAACTGAATTAGCCTCTTGTTCTTACACTAAACCACTATAATCATTTCAAGTATAAATCATAACTAAAGGGTAATTTTTGTACTAACAATTTCAAGGAAATACTTGAAACCGATATCACTATAACCAGTACAAAACTACTAAATACGGTATTGCTGTTGGAAATTTATTGATTATCACTCCAATGACAGTCATTCCAGCGAAGGTTTTGAAGTTTCAGCAAACCCCTCCCAGCCTTCTGACATTAGAAATAGCTTATACTGACAGACCCAGTATATGTGAAGCAAAGTGATTGGAACATTTACCCTGGTTTTTACTAAACTGGCCCTGTATTCTGTATTTACGCCCATAAATATTTGTTGTGCCTCCCGGTGTACACAAACAAACGTACGAACAGCGAAGTAGCAAATCAGTGGTTTAATGAACATTCACATATGACTGTTGCAAGACTCATATCAATATATTGTGCTCGTAGCATATGTTTAAGAAAGGGAAGAGAGTCTTAATACCACTGTAAGTGGAAAAATATAAGAGATGGAGCAAGATGGTCGCTCTAAAATTCATGAAGCTTAAAAATAACTGAACTTGCCGAGATCCCGTGTCACGATAAGTGAAGTCACCCATGAACTGTTCATATATAACGCCTCCTGGATGTCCAAAAGGTCCATTAAAAAAGTTCATTGAAACCTTTTCTTGATATTTGTACGCGGAAAAACTTAAAACCGACCAAAAACTCATCGCCCTTCCATGTCTGCATTCTCCGCCATATTTGTTTTCAAGGAAAATTTGTACTCAGTCTCACTCGGCCGAATTTCTTAACTGGGGCGATCATGTAAACTCGGTTCCAGACCTTGCTGCCAGCCCCCCCCTGGTTCTAGCTATTGCCTTATAAGGTAATCATTTTATTTCGTATTTTTTATGTTGAAGTAACACTATGTCAAGAACGTTTTTCTGGATATTAAGACAACCTGAGCTAAAATCAAACTTAGAGTCTGTAATAAAATCCAGCAGGAAGAGAAAGTCTTCACCGGCATAAGCTGCCTTAAATTCTGCTTGAATGAAATATTGGTAATTAAAGAAAATTATTTTAGTTTCAAACCTTTTATGAACCAGTCCACAGGCGGTTCACGAAGGCCGTCACAAAGGGTGAAATCTAGGGTGATCTGGGCGGAGTAATCACCAGGTTCCATAACCAAGAATACCACTTCATACATTCCGTTGTGATGGTCCCACACTTGCGGCGAAAGGGATGCTGGGCCTTGTCTGATGTACACTCCCCACGCATCGCCACCAACATTTTTATGAATGCTATCTCTTGTAACAGACTGAATGAAGAAACGACTAAAGTGACCTAACAGGAAACGAAAATATACTGTTAAGAAATATTAATTGTATAAGCTGAATACTCAAATTTACTCTAACATTTTGGACTAAGGCAGCGTGGCCGAGTGATCAGCACGGAGGACTCGCAATCCAGGGGTCCCGAGTTCGGGTCCCCTGACCAGTAATTGCATTTGTTTTTCGGGCTTTTCGGCTTCAAATTCTTAGTCACAATTGTAAAATAGCCATCTGATGCTGACTCTTGCCTGGGTTTCTTTGTAGTGTTATGTTACATTTGCATTATTTGTTTCAAATAATCTGGGTGGAATGCCTGGAGGTAGCTGGTGAAGCTAAGTGTATTTTCACTTTAAAAAAAGCATTTACCATTGACATTGTCGCTTAAGTTCACAACTTGATGTAAAAAGAACTGAAAAGAAATACTGCAGTTTTTCGGGAAGTACATTTAAGTCATAGAGAGGGGAAGTGTGAAGTCTCAAAAATTCAAATTTGTGAATATGAGATTGGTTTGCATATCTAGAAAGGCTTTATATGAAGTCATTGAAGCAAAACAGTGCTTATACCCCCCTCCCCACAACAATTTGCACTACAAATGCTTATTTTTGGCCACGTGGGCTCTTTCGTTTTGTTCTATCTGGAAATGCCAGCCCATCTCATAATTTCACAAATTTAGTTTCTGTGACGTCATCACTTCTCTTCTCTATTCAGTAGAGCTTGCCTTTCAATACCTTAGAGGAATGTTACAAAAATGAAGGTTCAGGAATTTTTATCCGTTATCTACCTGCAGGTTGTATCTCCCATTTCGTTATAAAACTGTTATTCGCATCAGTCCTCCATTTGGAGTTTACTTTTCGTTCGTCCCAGGCTACTTTCCCAGCACACGGTTTAACCACTGTCTCCCAGTCTATCCGCCATCCTTGCATTCTACACCACAGCTGGTGAAAATGTGGTATGTCGTGTTCATGGTTTTCAAAGAAAGGTGTATTGCTCCCGACCAAGTTGTATAGTATCAATGTAATATGGAAGGTTACTACAACAGTGCCAAGGAAGATGGCTTTTTTGACGGAACGTTGATTGAGGATTCGAAGAACTTGACATCCCATTCCTAAAAGTCAAAATTTAGCGAGCGAAAGCAGTGATTCTAAGAGGCAAGCACAATTACACAAAGAAAGGCCAATATGGCTCTACTGCAGCTTCCAAGACAAGATGTAACACAGTCAATTATTTAAATTATCCTACATGCGAAATTAAGAAAAAAATGCCAAGACAACTTTCCCTATATCTCAAGCTAAGATGGCGTCCAGTTTAAAGAAGTTACTAAAAATGAAGATATCCAGGCATTGAAAAACACTGTAGAAAAGTTAAACATACAAAAGAGGACAATATTTAATGGCAAGAAGGATTCCAAAGGGTAAACTCGGGATTCTAGGTGTAATTTGTCACCCATGATATCAATAGGGAATGTAATGCTAATTTTTTCCCTCCACCAAAGGCTCAAACTTTATTATAACTTTTACAAAACCTACGTGAAAATTAAATCCTAATTTTCTCGTCACCATTTGATCACACATTTAACAAGGCAAGTGAATGAAACGTTGAGACTTCTTTGCCACGAGATTTTTAAATGATCACTTTCAAGTTTTTTTTGGTAATCTCACAGCAAAGCTTCTGCAGTAACTGAATGAAAGACCAGGCGTATTTGTTCGAAAGGTGGATAAGTCTCTATCCGGTGCATAACGCAACTGGTTTTAGTCCGCCTAAAACTTATCCGTTGGATAGTGGTTTATCTGGTGGATAGCACTGTTCTGCGTTTTAAGAACCGGGACCAGATGTAATTTCTAAATTCACATTCTGTTTACTACTTACGTTCCCGCCAAAGGAGGATCAATTTTAACCCCCCAGATTCAGGATTCAGCGAAGGTGCTTACGATTCCTCGAAAAGGTCCTGCCTCTGATATTTGAAGAGTTCGGGTTTCAAAAACCGGCAATCAAAATAGAAATACTACTATGAAACTTGTCTAGGCGAATCCTTTTTGACCGGTACCTGTCGTGACTCCTATTGCATTCAATAGTTACACGAAAAAACCCTTGGCATGGAAAGTAATATCTCAGTATAAAAATTTATGGCTGAAAATTTGAGCCCGATGCACCAGATACACTCTTTATATTTTTCCTTATAATTTCTCATGAGTCTTTTTTTTTGTGTGAGTATTTCTTTGGCTCAACAATGGTTTGTGATCGATATAGATTTTAATTCACCTATACTCAAATTGCTGCTTTATGCATCATCCAACGGTAACCCGGAAGTACTTACGTATCCAGCTAATACTGACACAGACGGATACTTTACCATGCAGACCAGTTGGGATGTCCAATTATTTTGTAACGTGGTTCAGTGTGGAGCAGTCCTTAGTTTTCCATAAAGAATGGCCAATCTTAATTCATTACGAATTTAAAGCGTGTTTGCTCTAACTTGTTTCTAAGAAACAAACTCTACCCTAAATTGTATATTGTCAAAATCTAAATGTAGCTTTCAAATAGAGATCGCTTACTCTCCCAAAAATAAAAAAAAAAAAACTCTTTTATTCAACCACTTTGTAATTACCAAATGGAGAAAAAAGTAAAAATTAAAATAAACAGAAAAATGCCCTTTTAAGAATAAAGACGTTTTGCTTGGATTTTCACCATACTATTTGCACAAGTAAAGCTAGCCTTGCTAAAAGGAAATTCTTGCCGTGTCAGCTCATGACTCTTAAATGATATAAAGATCGTTACAATGAGGTGCAATTTCTTATTATGTTAGGCCAATACGAGTTCTTTTGTGAGATATCAGCTGTTAATAATTTGGACTGTTATTAAACAATGGTCCAATCAAACATCTAACTTAAGAAGCATTGAAGAAACTCAACTGTTTGCTTAAACAGTTATTCCAACGGTGTTTCAAGGGACAAAGCTCATTATATCACATTATAGCGTCAGAATAAAGCTGACCGCGACTTCAACTCTGCAAATTGCAGGGACGTAGCCAGCCCATAGACCTGTAGGCCCGGACCTACAAATGTTTGGTTTGATCACTTTACTGCTTGTGATAAACTATGCGTTGTTGAGTTGAGCATAAAGAGCTTAAGAGCTCAAAGTGTTGGTAAGGTCAGTGCGTACCATGCATGCAATTTTCAGGATATGTGGAAATGAAAGTCAGCCAGGCCTACAACTAGTCGAAAAGCTGGCTACGCCCCTGAATGCGTTGACTTTGTTTTCTTTCCCTTTTCTTTGGTTCATCACAGAAAGCAAGAAAGCTGGTTGAACAGTGAAACGGTTGAGCTTAGTTAGTAAGCAGTCGGGTACCTGCTACCCAGTTAAATTCTAAATATCTAAATCGTTTTAAGCAATTGTTAAACTTTCATTTTTGAATAGTTAATTAAGGAAGATACACGGCATTCATGGAAAACAGGTATAGTTAAGTGTAATTTTGAGTAGTATTTTTAAGAGACTCTTTAGATATGTATTTATTATTATTAAATATTGTTATGTAGTTGTACTTTATATGTAACAAAAAACCTGATGAATTGTTTACCGTGTTAAAATAAAGATTTGAGATTTGAGATTCAAAAATATGTAGAAGTGCTTTGATTTCAAAGACACAGGGCTACAAGCATTTTTTTATGAAAGGGGAAGAAATTTTCTTTCATTTTCATTAGTTTAGTATTCCCAATGTAGGTCACTTGGTGCTCTCAAGGTAATCGCCCGCTATTTTTCATTTCCTTAGTGTACTATCGTCTTGTGACCTACATTGGGAAAACCGAACACACAAGCCAAAGAGGTCTGTTCAACACAATAAACAAAGTTTTTGATAAACTTCAACCAAAAACGTAAAAGCAATACGTAGTAAATTCTCTCTTTAGGTGTCAGTTAAAAAATTCTATATTAATATATATTACTTTGACGTTTCGGATTAGGCGAGTGGGAAATTATATTTGAATTATTTTGCGTTACTTTCCCCCATCTCTTATAAAACTTAGAATAAGCTTGGGGCACAAAAAGTAGTGATAAAATCAGTCACGACTCTTCCTATAACTGCCATCCACATTAGTCAATGGATTTTCCTTAATTCACTCTCGAGTGCATTCACCGCTGCACCCTTAACTGGTCGAGAAGGGCTTCGGGCCTTGTGAACTTGGCCGCATTTAATGATCGCCATTTCTGGGAGTAACTTATATATTGTATTGTCGGCTTTTAACATTTCATCAGTTAAACTGAAAAAGGAAAAAAAATGATCTAGGTAAGAGTTTTCAGAAAAAAAAATATGAAAAAGTAGTCGTCTCATACTGGAAGTTGAAAACAATGTTTCTTGTAGGTTGAGTTGTAAACGGAAAAAGGTAGGAGCCGTAAAAACAATGTACGCCATAAATATGCGCCTCGCGAGGTTTATAAATTGGTCACGCGCGCAGCCTGCGCCTCTCGCGCTATAAGCACAGCGAGGCAAAAAGTCGAGTTGCGAGTATTTCTATACATCTCTTGCTTGTCTGCAGTTGACGTCATCCAGTTGTGACTTTAGGGTTGTCATGCAACGCTATTTCAAGTGCGAATGCAAAGTGCTGTGGTGCACTATCATGTTTTATCAGAAACTCATAAGGGGTTGAAACGTGTAACTCGCGTTCAATGCTCGTGAATTTTCAATTTTACCATATTTGGAAACCTTAGTGACACATATCCATTTTAAACAAATGGCTGCCGCGCGATCACCATGCAGATGTTTTAAGACAAGAGTTATGCATTTCAAGGTTAAAAATACACGGTTAACAGACAAAAAATGGAAAGAGAAAGTTCAAAAGAATGCGCAGCTTTCTTTTTGTGGAGGAAGGGAGGCTTTTCATCAAGAAATCGTCCTTCGAGGAATTCAACCTTGTTTTCTTCACGACGGAACGCATGGTCTGTTTTGAAATGCAACCAAGGCAGTGAAGTTTTTGCTGAATTTTCAGGTACATTTTGCACTCTATGGCCAAGACAATTACGTTTTTGAAAGGGAATTTATGTATTTTTAAACGTTTCATAGACGTTTTATAAATTTTTCTCTTCGGCGCTAAAGAAAAATTACAAAATGTGCCCCGATTTGAGATGGATTTTGTGTTGAATTCTGCCATGTGCTCAGTCGATTTCACTTGCGTTAACGGATCAACGATCCAGATAGTGTTTCCCGAATTGCTGTAAAGGATTAACTTTTTGGATTTTGAATAAAAATTTTCAAGAAACGGCTTCCCTGTCTATTTGTTTTGACTTTGTTCATTCATGAAATTAGCTCAAAACACGATCGTGACCACATCCAAGCTGAATTTAAGCTTAAAGTGACAAGAATGAGTTAAATCCTTCTCACATTACTTACACGCATCACTTTTTGCGAAGATGTCAGGTTCAGGTTTTGGACACTTTTCGATACGCAGCTAATGAATTTTATTCGAAAATAGTTTTTACTGTTTATTCTAGACTAGTAATATAAGAATTGCAGTATAAGTGTACTGTGCAGAGGGTCAACGAGGCATCGTTTTTTGAAGTGACAACTTCAAGAAGTTGCGAGGACGTCAATGGGTTTTTTATAATGTTACGTTTGGCCCGGATGGTAAGGCAATAATATCCTGCTCAATAGTTCGGTAATATTCCTGGTTTCAACCTTTGAAAGCTTTCTCGGCTTTCGGGAGTTTTTCCCCCGTTTGTCGGCCATTTTTTTAAGCGGGCACGGGAACGTAAAGTAAAATTACGTCACGTTGTTTACAAAGTTTGATTGGTCAGTTATGTCTTCTTGTCGTTCCAAATATGGTATATACTTTTCAAAATGAATAATCACGAGCATCGGACAAGGCAAACATATGAGAGTTACACGTTTCAACCCCTTATGAGTTTCTGGTTTTATTCAAACGTATTTTTTTGTATTTTGTATTTTATTTTTTCTCCACTTAGCATTAATTACAGAACTATTCATTACAGAAAGCAAAATAATACTAAGTAGGAGACGGGCGCATCTAGGTAGACCTGAATATTGTGCCCCTTAGTAAAGTTGTATATTATGACAGCCAAAAAAAAAATTGATGCAGTATAGATATACTTAGGACAGCAGAACAAATATATATAAAATTACATAATATTAGTACTGAGCAGCATAATAACTTGTCCGTGCACATTTCAATTATTTTTTCGAAGGTTTTTGACGGATACAAGAGAGACCTTTGTTCCAAAAATATTTACCACTTATACTTGGAGAAAATTTCTTTAGTTTTGTACGGAACGATTCAATAACTAGATGATCTGATAATGCATTACGAGTAAGATAAGTATGCTGCTCAGAGCGTAAGGTCAGAGAAAAACTCGGAAATTTATCATCATTAAAGTACTCGTGCAACAACAAACACTTGCTAATACCCCATTCACACCAACTAAACATGTCTAACTAAACGCAGTTTAGATAAACACTGGTTTAACTAAACGTGTTTTGCTAAAAAACTGTTCACATCGAAAACGAGTGTATGTAGGAGTTACTTTCAGCCTCGTCTTGAAGTTTGCAGCCTCACTTTCATAATGTAAACAACACGCAATCTAATAAAACGCAATCTTCATGTTGCGGGAGTTTTAAGTTACTTAAAATTGAATTTGAAGATGAACGGTCCAGCTATGGCTTTATTTTTGGCCCAGACAAAGAAAGCTCAAGAACGAAAACTTATTTGTAAACGGAAAAGGGATGCCAGAAGGAGATTTCAGGCATATGTACGCCGCCGACGCGTCGTTACACAGCTGTTTGTTTTGTTGCTTACTCGCAACGTTTTTCCTCTCGTTCCCGGCGTACGAAAAATATGAGCGAAACCGAGGGCTGCCACGTTTTGGGAGGAGACTTGTCAGGGCTGGAGCGATCAAGACTGCAAGGAAAACTTTCGAATGTCACGAGTGGCCTTTGAATATATAGCTATGGAGCTATCTCCCATCATTTCAAAGAGGGACACAAACTTTCGCAAAGGAATATCTGCTCGCCAGCGACTTGCGGTAACTTTGTACCGGCTTGCCGATACCGCGTCTTACCGTACGATTGCAAACCTTTTTGCAATTGGGAAATCCACGGTCTGCGAAATCGTTGTTCAGGTATGCAATGCCATCGTACAATTCCTTCTTCCAAGGTACGTGCGACTTCCACAATCGGCACAAGAAATTCGGGAAAGGATTGATGAGTCGCGTGACCGTGCGGGTTTTCCTCAGGTTGTAGCTTGTGTTGATGGATGCCACATCCCAATTAAAGCCCCACAAAACAACCCGGAAGACTATGTTAATCGAAAGGGTTTTCATTCGATTGTTCTGCAGGGATTAGTGGATGCGAACTATTTGTTTTGAGACATTTGTGTCGGATGGCCTGGAAAAGTGCACGATGCGCGCTTGTTTAAAAACTCCTCACTGTACACGTCCCTTTGTGGTGGTATCTTCACACCAGATGATAGTGTGTACGATACGATCAATGGTGTGAGGGTGCCACCACTAATTCTTGGAGACTCGGCTTACCCACTGCAAGACTGGCTGATGAAGCCTTACGTGGACCGAGGAAACCTGAGCGCTGAGGAATTACAGTTCAACAATCTTCTAAGCATCACAAGAGTTGTAGTAGAGAATGGATATGGAAGATTAAAAGGAAGATTTCCTGCGCTTGCAAAGCGGCTAGATCTGAATGTAAATAATTGTTGTACTGTAATTGCGGCTCGCTGTGTACTGCACAATTTTTGTGAAATCATGAAGGAGGAATTTGAGGAACAATGGCTTCTTGACATTCCAATCAATGGAGCGATCTGCCCAAACGAAGATGTAAACCAGCAGCAAGACAGGAATGCTGCAGCAATCAGAGAAGCCATAAGAATTTTTCTGTCTTAAACAAACTTTGTAATAATTTTTAGACGTCATTACAACCCAGGGTTTAAGTGATGGGGACAATCAAATGCATGGGGGCAAGAATCAAAACCCAAAAAATGCCTAGCCAGTAGGGCTTCCAATTGATAAAACCCCCAAAAGCCCTGGACCAAAATTTAACCCCCAACAAATATCATGAAAATTTTCGAGCGAAAAGTTTGGTTGTTCTTTGAAAACATCAAATCCAAAAAATCCTTTGATCACTCCCATTACTTGAAATCCGGACTACCCCCTCTGGGCATTACAATGTAATGGTCAAATCCAAATCGAAGCTTTCAACATCCATCCTGGTGAATGCCTCCATGAATTTGAAGTTTGGAAAAGTTAGCCTTTCACCAAAAATTCATCCAAATCCAGCACAAATATCTGTTTTTTAGGCCCCTTTGAAGTCATGAGTAATCATTACCTCAGTCTCTACAATCATCAGGGGCACCCAATGACTAAATGTTTCCAAATACACCAGAAGTGTCTCAAATGGTTTTCTCTGTGCTTAAGAACCCTGTTTGGTTAATTTGGAGTTGCCCTAAAAACTATTTATCTGTTCGGATGTCTCAGGAGAACTTTGGTTATCACAAAAGTCTTAAGTGGCTTATCGAATAGTATTTTATCCAGCTCATCGAAGAATGGTGGTTTTTTGCTTGGTGTGGCGTTTCCCGTCTTCTTAAGTTCGTCTTTGTATTGGCGGTATGCCGTTACAAGAGTGTGGAGGCGGGTTTTGCAGGCTTCTCCGTCGCGTTCTTCATATCCACAGGCCATTAAAAAGTCGCCAATTATTGGCTTTTTCCTTGTACAGGACTTCAGTCTTAGCTGGACGTTTTCGTCTCCCCATTTTTCGAGCAAAAGTCTAGTCTCCCTGTCCTCCCACGTTCTTCCGCGAACTTTTTTTGCAGCCGCCATTTTGAAGTATTTTAGTTTCGCGCGAAAGTTAAACTACCTCCTACAGGTTGTTTAGTTAAACATGTTTTAAACATGTTTGGATTGCGTCAGCGCGCGATGTGAACTGTTTTTATTTTAAACTGAGTTTAACTAAACATTATTTAAACATGTTTAAGCGTTGGTGTGAACGGGGTATAAGTTTAACTATATCAGATAGATAGATAGATAATCTTTATTTATCCACCGTCAATTAATCAGCCAAAAAATTAGAATTCAAATAAGAAAACATTGTAAACTATCTACATTTTAAAAAATAAATAAAAAGCTGCTTTCCACGAATGCTGTGCCCTAGAGTACTTGTTTAAGAAGACATTTGAACTTCGTAAGGGACTCTGCTGTAGAGGGCCTAAATGTAATAAACGACCCTAAATGTAATAAAGTCCTAAATGTAATAACATTTTGTCCTAAATGTAATAAAGTCCTAAATGTAATAACAGTTTGCCCTAAATGTAATAAACTCTTTAAAAGTTGCCAATTATAGTAATTACTCGAAAAAGCGACGCATTTAGGGGGGAGTTAATTAGAGCAGCGGCGCTTATTCGTGTAAATACGGTACTAAGCGGTATTACTATGGTATTAAGCTCCGCTCTCAAATAAGCGCCGCATTTTTGGACAAAAAAGTTAGTAAGCGCCGCGGTGCTAATTCGCGTAAATTCCGTAAATTTCCTTATGCACTGTGAAACTTAACGTTTACCAATAAATTGTTTGTAAACGGCAAATTAACAGTAGTTTTCACGATTGTGCGCATGTGCGAGCTGTGACAGTAGCTGATTGTCTTTGAACCAATCGGAAGCTAGTAAGCTGCAAGCGAGGAAATTTACATAATTTAAGATTCATTGTTCGCGAAGTGGGAGTCTTCCGGACGTTTATGTTCGATTTTATATATATAATTCATAATTATTCTCTGGTATTCCTCAGATAAATGTTGCAGATGATAAGAATAAGATTAACAACCCTGTCCTGCTTTGAAACAAACATTTACCTACGTGTATTTTTACGTACCCACTCTAGAAAAACAGTCTCCGATCCGCAAACAAAAATAATTTGTAAACAAACCTTACTGATCTCTCTGTTTACCCTATATAAACTTAGAAATACCTGTAAATGGCTCCTGACCGGTGATCAAAACACACAGTATAGGATGAGGCAAACGTTTTGCTTAAAATGCCAGCTAAATGCGCGCTATAATAAAATAAGCCACGCCATGCGGTCGGCTAGCTCACTGAGTCGATTGATACCGGCTGAAAATCGTAGCATTGTTTGAAAGCAATTCTTGGTGCTTCATCATAAAACGCTTTCATTGCAATAGTAGCCACATAACGTATAAGTATAAAGATTATTCTGAAAGAACAACGCAAAAAAAGGAATAAACAGGAGCCCATCAGAACTATGACATAAATTTCAACTGCTTATCAGCAAATAAAAAAATTCCTTCCGAGTCGTTGCGTTGCGTGTTCCGCAAAACAAACGTTATCGATTCAACACATAAAGAAACCAGATGTTAAACGGAACATTCAGGGTACAATTGTTTTTTAAAAGATCAATTCTTAAACATCTACGCTCATACAGAAAAGATACAAGGAACATTCCCAGTGGACTACATCAGTAAAGATCGCGCGGCCTGTTGTCAGTACTTTCTACTGTACAACTACGGATCGGAGTCACAAATCGAATGCCTGTTAAAACGTTTCATGTTCGATGGTTTTTCTCCTCAAACCTCACACGACTTCGTGTACAACAAAAGATTGCTGAGTTTTCTCCTTCTGATTCCAGGCACTCGATAAACTAAATTGCTGCAGACAATCGGAAGTCATGTCGCAGATCAGCTTCACTCGCCGCTACGTCTCATTAGTAGTCCACGGCTGTATCGAGGAAACCCTTTTTAAAAGCTCTTTACATATTTATCGTTTGAAAAATATCCGTCAAAGGTAGATAGTTGACTGGAGAACCTTGATAGACAGAAATGAAAGCAGATGACCACATTAAAGGCCACATTTGATCCGTTTGTAGGAACACTGACAACAACGAACGGGTGAGGACAAAACATGGACCAGAGGTCCATGGACCCCCACTTTGGATCGGGTCCATGGACCACTTTCATGGACCGGGTCCATGGACAGTTTTTTTAATAATGAGAAATGAACAAAAACAGAAATAGTGCAAAAATAAGGTTAAAAAACAACAACAACAACAAACAATGCTCGATTGATCAGCAATGTTTAATTGTGCTTACATAGTGTAAAAAAAAGGAGGGGTCGGTACCTCATGCCAAAATGCTGCTTGTTCCAATGAATTGTTTTCTCTGATGGGTAGATTATGCTTCGGAAGAAAACCTTTTGACTGAGCAAAGGTGAATTTTTGTCGCTTATTTCATCCGAGAGGTCGTGACACACATATTGATTTTCTACCTCTTTTAAAATGTAAAGCTGTTCATTGCGGCTGATCAAAAGGGTTTTAGGTTGCTTAATTTCTCCAAAGTGCATCCTGGATCTGAATAATTCTAAGCTACTTTCTTTTTGTCCATGAATGTCACTTTTTCCTGCAATGTTTTGTCACACTGGGCCCAGCTCCTTAGCGCTTTTAGCAGGACGATTATAAACAGTCCGGGCCACGACCAGATCTGGATATATGATGACGTCACCCACATTTGCAAAATGGCGCCCACGCCGAGAAACACGAGGGAAGGTCACTTCCTGGCTCTTTGCTGCGCCTAGAAGTGTCCTTTCCCCATACTACTTTGAGAGCTGTGACTTTAGACAATGAGAAATCAGGGGTAAGAAGAAAAAATGCCGTCCGATGGACGTTTGTGCGCATGCGTTCCTTGGGAGGTAAAACGACCGAACACTAGAGTTTTTCAGCTTAAAGAAATGCCCGACAAGGAGCAAAACATCGAAAAAAAGAAGGTGAGTGTCATTTTTTGGACCGTTGGAAAAACTTTTTTTGGAATCTACATAAAATTTGCTTGTTGATAGTGGTCTGTTTGGTGTAGTGCAAAGCAGTTTCACTTAGTGCTGTGCTTTTACAGTCAAACCAGGTCAAGCGTTCCCGTCGCTAACGAACTAATGAATTCATTCACGGAAAAATGATTTCGTTTGTTGATTCAATAATCCATTCATAAAATGAACAATCCGATAGTCATATTTAGCCTCGATTCCATAATCGAATGTTGATTCGATTATTGTTTTTTGAAAAATTACACTTTCCACAAGTTGACCTCAGAATTTTGTTTTTTCCTCTTTTTTTTCTGAGAGTCGAGGGCTGGCGAGTTCTGAAGTTCAAACCCAAACAAACTGTTACATGTACGCCAGTTTGCTGCCAGTAATCAGTGCAACAGACCTAGGCCTGACCTCTTAGAAAACACGACGGTCAAACTGAGGTCAGTGTATGTGCAGTGATTGGTGGATTTCGATCCTCGGCCTTTGTCAGTTTCTTTGCGTTTGCGGTCTGTCTATTCTAGCTGTTATTTTGATTAAAGGCAATTAAAAACGCAATCGTAAACGGCAGGAAAAGGGAAGCAAATACGATTGAACACAACAGACAAGAATAAAGAACAGGTAGATTTTGTTCATAAACCAAATCAACATTTGATTATTGAATCGAGGTACAATTTGACTGTTGGATTATTCATTTTATGAATGGATTATTGAATCAACAAACGAAATCATTTTCCCATTAATGAATTCATTAGTTTGTTAGCGACGGGAACGCTTGACCTGGTTTGACTGTAAAGATGCAAAAGTCAGTTGCATAGTTAAATGACTGCCTTGTCACGAGTTCAGAAAAGTGAAAACAACAAGAATAGCCCCAAGCGAGCCCACATTGTAGGAGGCAATACGATAGCTTTGAATACAAAAATCTTGACTGAAATGATGATGCTTGATTAATCATTGTCATGAGACAGTATGCAACGGTGCAAACCAGTTTCCCACTTATATAATTTTCGATTACTGAATTAAAATGTCAATGCTGACAATATAATAAGAGCATTGGTCATCCCTGGACAACCCTTTCATTTCAATGAAATATAT